GACAGTCTATGTGGGGGCACCACTGGGTCAGTCCTGACACTCTTGGTTCAGTCCTGGTTCAGTTCTGGTTTAGTCTTGGTTTAGGACAATTACAAGTTCAAAGTTTTGTTCTACACATTCTCACATTATGTGTTACAAGTTCTTAAATCAAGTTTACACGCTCTCCTCCATTTTGCAACATATTTATCTTCATAAAAAACCTCGTCCTTCTCAGTCTCCTCCTTAAAACAAATCAGCTGTACATGTTCTGGCTCTGGTACAATAGCAACTTTAAAATCTACAGGTGCTCAATGCTGCGTCCATGCTTAGGCGACTTCTGAACACGCTTGCTGTGTGTGACGTTGTGTCCTCCAGTGCAAATGTCGGATAGCCTGATTCATCAGCCGGTTTCACTTCATAGAAACCGTCTGACCTTGCAGCATTTGGATTCATTCGCTCAACAGTAGGCGGGTACTTTTTTAATTTAACCAATCGCTACTATTTGGTCGTGAAGTATGTAATGCACCACTAACAGGGATAACTGGTATATTAAGCTTTTTCCCAAATCCTGTAGGAAGAAGGACCATAACATCTTTCCCCTTGATAAAATTCAGCGAACATTTTCTTTGTTCCGGCTTTAAATCCTCAATCTCGGGAATCGTTGCCAACACATAATGTATGACTCTTCACTGATTGTCTGGTGCCTGAACTCGCACTTCTGGGATTTTTGTGAACCGTCTAGTGTATTCTGGTTCCTAACCTAGTCACTGGAAAGAAATTAAATTGAGCGAAGGCACTATGTGGCACTAGTCTGGCTAGATGCGGGACACTTTTGGGGAGTTTAAAGTAGAGCCCGACCAATATGGATTTTGTTGTGGCCGATATGAAACCGATATAATGGAAGTTGGAGCTGCCGATATAATCGCCGATATATTTAGTGATGTAATAATTCACTGTAAATCTTGAATTGTTTAAAAAACTTAGGTTTGGCTCTGGTGGATTTTAAATTGGGTTTATTTAGGCAACATTTATTGTTATTCTGCCTCTTTATGTCATATTTACAGACAGAAGTTTTCCCTAATGGAATTTTTGCATCACATTCTAGCTACTAGTGATGGGTATTCCAGTTCTTTTTAGAGAACTAGCCCTTTTGGCTTGGATCACTAAAAGCTGCCGGCTCTTTTGGGTCCCAAGCAGCTGTTCAGATTGTTTTGTTGTAAGCAGGACTAAACCAGAACTGAGTGTCGGGACTCGGTCTCTATCTCTCTCCCTCTCTCGACCCCAAGATTAGTCCTGGTTTATTTATTTTATGCTAAACTACAGCCAAATATGCACGTTTTTTCTATCCTATGCACACGCATAATTCTGGAAGTTTCGTTTTCAGCCGCTGCTGCTGTCAAACTACCACGAGTCTGCACGTGGCGTAAAGAGAAAAAAAGTGAGAGAAAGAGAAAACACGGCTCCCAATAAGGAGCCAGCTCTAAGAGCCGTTTCGTTCACAACCGACCCATCACTACTAGCTTGTAAAGAAACTACAGCTATTAGCCTTTAGCCGTAAATACATGCGCGCCGCAGTAATTAATTATATGCACAAGTATCATCATTCACACCTCTATTTACAGTTTATTTACATATCAATGCTGGTCCAGTAACAAATATAAACAATATAGTCACTTTACAATAGACCAACAGAAGAGAAATCAGCCTGTTTATGTGCGGGAGCTACAGCAGCTAATAGCTAACTAATGAGAAAAAACAAAACTAGCTTCAAAGTTATCATATTTCCAACACTCACCGCTCACACAGGCTCCTCCTCACATCACAAGTCTGCACTAATAAATGTCCTTTTAATCCAGACTCAAACCGACTGTCTGTAAAAAGAATATAATCTCAGTGTTTGGATCTATGTCTGTGCGTGTAAACAAACACATTTGAGTGACGCGACTCTGGTGGTGTGTTCAAGGACAGTACGGACACACACACAGACAAATGACTCCGCAGATAAATACTGATGCGGAGCCACATATTAGGACATTTATCTGACTGTAAATTGGATTAAATGAACATAATGTAGATAGTCTAAGCTTTATAACGGGAAATATCGGCCCATATCAGCAAACATATCGGCTATCGGCCGTGTGCCCATATCAGCCGATCATATCGGCCAAACAATATATCGGTTGGGCTCTAGTTTAAAGTTCACACTGGAGATTACGTACAAGTCACATTTAATTGGAAATGTGAACAACCTCGCAAAAAAAAAAATCGCATTTCACAAAAAAATCTGAATTGAATTGCAGAATTGGTGTACGTATATATGGTGTACATATTGTATGAATATATATATATATATATATATATATATATATATATATATATATATATATATATATATATATATATATATGTGGTATATGTTTAGTATATGTATGTTATATGTATTATATACATACATATATAATCCTTTTCATTATTAAGTATCATCATCATTAGTGATATTATGTTATTTATTGTATTATTGAGTTGTTGTTTTTTTTTTTTTTTTTAATCTACTTTCTACATTTACATTGATTTTGTGTGTGTGTGTGGGGGGGGGGGGGGCATGTATACTGTGACTTATGTGGACAAAAAAAAAAAAAAAAAGCACAGAATAAATAGCAAATTAAAAAAAAATTAAATCTGAATTGAGCATTAAGCCCTGCATTCTGAATGCAGCCTTCGTGAGGGAGAGAGTTGTTTTTTGTTTGTTTTTTTTATTTATATGTAAAAATGTAGATTCACAAGTTTGTAACTTGATAACTGCATTGTTTCTTAGTCTTTTTTTCTAATAGCTGTTTTTACATGAACTCCCCCTGCAGGTGTGAGTGCAGTTTGGGTCAAATACACAGAGAGATGTCATAGTTTTCAGAGCTTTTGCCACGCCCCCTTTTCAAGAGGACTTAGTTCACTCTCTAGTCGATTTTCTTTTCTTTTCTTTGTAATAATATGAAAGCATGTCTGTAAAATGCATCATGCCTTTTCCATCCTATTCCAACCACAAATCTTCACCTCTCTGCTGAAGCTGCTGGCCCTCTGGTCACTAGACTACAGCGTACAGACCCCAGTGTCTTCACTGTTGCTTCTTCCCTGTCCAGCCAAGACCACATGCTTTCACTACAAAGACACATGGTCTGGAGCTGTATCCTGTCTCCATAAACTCCAACAGATGACAGGCACATTATCAATCAAAGAAACGCATCAAATTAAATCAACCCTTCGATCTATCTACATTATCATCAACAGCTATAATCAAACCCAAAACAGTCCATTTCTTCTCGTTTCCTCATTGTGTAACATCTTGCTCTGGTAACAATAGAAATAGTAGTAATTAGAGTTGTTCCAGTACCTTTTTTTTTGTTCAATACTGATACAAAAGCAAAAAAATAACTCTATCTCTAAAGAAAATCTGCTGGAATAAAAGCACTGAGCTACTTTTGGTGAGGAATTGTGTTGATTTAAGTATTTTGTATTTTTCACTTTCTTACACAGTATAGATAAAAATAACAGTTACACGTGTAAAAAGCACATGGCTAATGAATTATGCAGAGTAAACAAAGTGTTAGCGCTATGGTCCGCACTCTCCGCTGATCATGTGACCAAAGTTATGTCTCCACACCACAGACTGTATAAATCGACATCAATAAACTGCAAGCTGTCACGTTTTAAATAGGAAATGAGCATGGACGCACTTCTGTTCCTAATATGGAACTCAGCCCAAATTCGCCTCCATTACTGATAGCCTCAGTGAGCTTCATTTGACTGGACTGAACGCTATGGGTGACATCACAAGCCCTTAGTCCACTTGTTTATACAGTCTATGGCAGGGATGTCCAAACTTTTTCAAAACTTATAAAGTGACCAAGTCAAAATCATCTACCTACTATAAAGCCAAGCAAACTGTACTGCACTGAAACACTCTGCGCCTCTTTTTTGACCCTCACCCGTTTCAGAATCACTTCTTTAAGAAAACTTTCACTGGCACTTTACACAAAACTGTGAAAAAAGTGAAGAAAGTGGGTAGGATTTTTAAACCTGTTTTTTCAAGCTCCTAACTGAAGTTACATTCTCTTACTGCTTTTACAGTGGGATTTAGCCTCTGCACATTTACCAAACAAAAAGCACGCCGTGACTAATACAGATGCATTTGTGCACTTTTATTAGGCAAGTTTCAACCACATGCCACAGTAGGTCTGTTCTGTGCTGTACGCGTCCTCTGTGCCAACACTGTCACATAAATATTAATTAGTTTTTGCTTCGCTTTCGTCTTGCCCTTCTAATCAGCGTGAAAAGGCGAGGAGTAGTGCGCTGACGTGAGGCAGATGGACAGGTAGATGTTCAAGAAGTTTAACCTGTCCTGTGATATACGCTGGTACGTGAGGGTACACTCTGTTGCGGTTCTAGACGACAGCACAGGCTGCAGAGATGCTCCGCTTGCTCCCGCACACTGGTACAAGTTTTTTGCCGAGGGCGGCTGTCTCAATCTCACTCATTGAGTATCAGACATCAAGTCCAAACTCCTTCAAGACTGAGACAAAACTGAGTCCAAATCCGGTCGAGTATGAGATGAGACCAAGACCAGTCTCGAGTACTACGACACTATGATCTACCCATACTACTTTGGCGATGGCTGGCAGATCGTGATCAACTTATTGGGCACCCCTGGTCTATGGTCTACACCAAAGGCTAAATGAAGGTTTCAAACGAGTAACATAAATGTTTTTCTGACATTATTAGCCTGTTTAAAGTGTCTACAAATCCTCTACAGTCTGTATTTACCTCGCTCACAGTGGCAGTGCTCACATATCCTCATTCAAGAAAATACAGTGGTATCGGCAATTTGGTCTGAGTACTCGCCGATACCTGAAAAATGTGCAGTATCGGAGCATTTGCAGATTCAGTATTGTAGTAGTAATAGCAGAAAGAGTGACAGTATTATCTTCAGTAAGAGTAGGTGAGTCCAGTGCAGAGCTGTGCAGACTTACAGACATCTGGCTCCTCGTCAGACCCATCTGGACAGTCCTTCTCTCTGTCACACCTCCAGCCCTTGGAGATACACGTCACTCCATCCTTACACACAAACTGCTTTGGACTGCACGTCTTTGGAGCTGAAACACAACCACAGGAAAAATATCGTTAATATTGTACTGTTTTATGATTAAATTAATTAAAACACACAGACCCTGCATATTTAGGCTTGATGTCATGTGGTAATACAGGAAGTGCTCCACTGTGTTTTAACTTCATACACCTTCACTAGAATCATTTGGATCATTTCAGACCTGGAATTACCGATCTCTACTGAACTAAAAGGTAAAAGGTAAAATGAGCTGTTCACTTGAAAACTACCACTTCATGACATCACAAGGTCACAGGGAACAGAGCATTTTGAGCTTTGGAGACATACAGACTGCAGTGTCACTTCTACAATAGTGTTTGGAAACGTTGGGTTTGATCTGCAGTGGATTGTGGGAAACCTCAGTGCTCCTTACACTGGTGAGGAACATGGGTCTGTTAAAATAATGAACCTCCCGAGCTTCCTCTGCTAAAGGAGCTCACGGTTATCTTACGGTTAACAGAGTTAATACAATGATGAGCTTGAGTTGAGTTGTTTGAATGAAAAAAAGGCAATATGTATTATTTCTTTTATTTTACAGTTAAGTTATTATTTATGTAATCAAGGAATTTTCGTAATCTTAAATGTGGCAGAAGCACTTTGTTCCTACATGAACTGCCGACCTCTTGCACTTAAATAAAAAAAGACCGTACGGAATTTGGCAAATTTTTTTTTGCAGGAGTTTTTGGGGGGTTATTTTTCATGTACACATATCGATATATATATATATATATAATATATATATATATATATATATATATATATATATATATATATATATATATATATATATATATATATATATATATATATAGTATATCGAGATATAGCAAAATATATCGAGATATATTTTTTGCTCCATATCGCTCAGCCCTTGAAACTTACAAGAAGCCATTTTGTGTAGTACAGGTCTCCATGGAAACAAGCAGTAGTCTACAGTCCAAAAAAGTATCATCTCACTTATTAAATAATTGGAGCCTCTGCTAATGGTGCCAAATGTGCAATTTAGTTTTAGAGAAATGCAAAATTTGAATATTGAGCTTTTAGTCTGTAATAAAACTGTTCATTCGGCTGAATTAAAAGAAAATAATCTTTCAATCTTTCAAGGGTATAAAGTGAGTATTACTGCAAGTATTACTGTAAACTAAACCCTGACCTTGAAAAGAAACAATAATAATTACATTTTGTTACATTCCGGCAGCTCATCCAAAGTGCAGATCTGTTCCTGAAGTCTCATCAAAAATATGACTCAAAAGGTTTCAGATGTCATCCATCCATGCTTGAGTAATTTAGCGATCTCTCCTGGGCCTTATTTGAACCCTCCTGTGAGATTCTGTCCAATGCTCTGCCCACAAGCCTATGTCAGAGTCAAGTTTGCAGAAATGCAAGCTCACTCACAGCAAAGATGTATGCATGTTTTTCTACGTTTTCGAGCGCAATCATTCTAACTTCAATAAATGAAAAACATCCTGTAATTTTTGTCAGTTTTTTGGTGAAAAAGTAACGTGATGGGACTTTAACTGCGTTGTTTACAGGATGTTTTTGCACATTTCCGACCGCTTATAAAAATAACATCCGGATATCGTCATTGGGATCATCAAAAAATATTGTTTTTGGCCAATATAATAATAATACCCAGCGGTCTTATTAAAAACAACACCATAATAATCTGAGTTTGTTCCATTTCTAGTTCATTTCTAGTCAGTCCAAATGCATACGTCTTCCTAAAGTGTCATTATGAGCGCGGCCCGTTGTGTTGAAGTCAATGGGGTCCTGCACGGGCTCTCATTAGGACCAGAGAACTCCATCAACACAAAAACACATGACGCAAGAGGAAACGCACAAAGAAGAACGGAGCTGCACAAGTCTGGATAGCGAGGGAACACTGGACTATTGTTTCAGCTGAGGGACATGCATGGCTTTAAACTAGGCCTGCACGCTTAAGTTAGTTAGAAATATACAAATTTAATCGCAATCATACTTAGCTCTACTTTAAAGCTTCAGTGTTAGAGATACAGTACACACCATACATACACCAGGCCCAGTTACAGCTCAGTATTAAAACAATGCATTAAAATCTGTAATAAGTTTCAGTCTCATTTTCTCAATCAGTCATCACAATCGGCGTGTATTTCGCTCAAGAAACTATGACATTTTTTAAGTGGGGGTAGGCGATTTGTGTCATCATCGATTTCAAGAATGCCATTCACCTTCCTTTAAAAAAAAAACAAAACTCACTTTCAGTACAAAAATAAAGGCACCAGACCAGTAAAAATCAGTAATATTTGATGTTTTTTTTTTTTTTTTTTTTACTCAAACTGATGTGGAATCATGTTATTAACATTAACACTGTTCAAAATCACCTACAAAACATAAACCATAGACTACATGAGCCCAGGACTACACCAGGACTAAACCAGGACTGAACCAGGACTAAACCAGGACTAAACCAGGACTAAACCAGGACTGAAACCAGGACTAACCAGGTAAACCAGGACTGAACCAGGTCTAAACCAGGACTGAACCAGGACTGAACCAGGACTAAACCAGGTCTAAACCAGGACTGAACCAGGACTAAACCAGGACTGAACTAGGACTAAACCAGGACTAAACCAGGACTGAACCAGGCCTGAACCAAGACTAAACCAGGTCTAAACCAGGTCTAAACCAGGACTGAACCAGGACTGAACCAGGACTGAACTAAACCAAGACGAGGAATCTTGGACTTGAGAGCGAGAGAGAGAGAACCCTGAGCCCGCGAGCACGGTGTCCACAAAGCACGATCAGGCGATGGAGATCTGCACCGGTCCCTTCGCCTACAGTTCAGTTCTGGTTTAGTTCTGGTTTAGTCCTGTTTTAGTCCTGTTTCAGTCCTGGTTCAGTCCTGGTCCCTCATGTCTCAGGTCACTATAGAACAGAAGTGCAAATATCATGAGTCTATGCAGGTTCTTTTCACCGTTGCCAGTAGCTCCAGATTAACATTTAAGTTGTAGCTATTTTATATTTGTAATTTTTTTATATGTCACTTCGGAAGAAGAGGGTGGACGGCGTACCACACCCACTTTTGTATATTTATGGGGCATTGTGGTGTGGGAGCGTGGGTGAAGTAGGCTTGTGGGCGGAGCCTTGTACAGAATCTTACAGTTAACCGCAAGGAGGGTTTGAATAGAACCCGGGAGAGATCTCTAGATTACACAAACACGCATGGATGATTCTAAAACCTCTTCAGGCATGTTTTTGATGAGGAAACGTTATAACATAATAGCCAACAGGTCGATTTCGCACAATACCCCGTCTTTAAAGTTAACTACATTCCCACAATCCCGTACCATAACATTGTGGAACGTTCAGGTAAAGCAGTAAGATTTTGATGAGACAAGCAGGTGACAGACCCTCTAGCAGACGACAGTAAAAGGAAGCAACACGTTGACAAAAGCTGCCTCAGTATTTACAGAAGCGCTGCCACTGACTCGTGAAGCAAATCTGAGAATGTCGCTCAGCCTAAAGATCACTGATCCTCCGTGACATCCCAGCACACACCTGTCTCTGTGTGTCTGTGTCTGTGTGTGTGTGTGTGTGTGTATGTGTCTGGGGGTGTGTGTGTGTATGTGTCTGTGGGTGTGTGTGCGTGTGTCCGTGTGTGTGCTCTGCCTCCACTTATCTGCTCTGTGGGAGATGCCAACATGCTGTGAGGTTCTATCATATAGCATTTATCTCAGAATTATGCATGAAACTCAGCCATGTGTATGTAAAATGTAATGCTGTGAAGCTTTATTTTAACAATCTGAATGTAAAGAACCGATTTAGCCGGAACTACAACACGTGAGCTGATTTTGTGCTGTTAAACAAGTCCGTTTCAACATTACAGTCAGTGCTGTTTTTTAGGCTAAGTTCAGTCTGCAGCCTGAATGACACAGATCCGATTTTTTCAAATGTGACCCAGGACACTTGGATATGTGCTCCTAAAACGGATACATATCCAATCTTTTCAAATGCGACTTCAGTCTGAACGGCCAAAGCGCATTCATCCACCTACACGTTATCAACAAGCCACAAACGTCACTATTCTGCGCTGAAGTAGGTGAAAATTGTTAATGAACTCCGTGTCACTGAAGCGAAGCACATCGTCACTCACCACTCTTGGCTACGTCTCCACATCCACATGTTCCTCTCAACGGACGTAGCTGCCACTGCCCCACAAAACACCATGACCAAAAACCTCGTCCTTCTCCTTCTCAATCTCCTCCTTAAAACAAGTAAGTTGTTCATGTTCTGGCTCCGGTACGAGAGGAACTTTAAAATCTCCAGGTGCTCAATGCTCGTGTCCATGTTTGGACAACTTCTGTAAACACAGAACACGCTCGCTGCGGTTGACGTCATCGTGTCCTCCAGTGCGCATGTGAGACACTTTTGGGCTGTTTTATGTTCACACTGGAAATCACATACAAGTCACATTTAATTGGAAATGTGAACAACCTCACAAAAACATTGGATTTCACAAAAAAATTCAAATTGAGTGTTAAGACCTGCAGTCTGAAAATAGCCTTACTTTCACCTTTTTTTGAGACTCAAACTCTTAAACAGGAACATGAACACTCGTACTGAGCACAGGCTGAGATGTACTGATCCAGCTTTCTCAGCTCCGATACCAATACCGATATTTAAGTTTTGAGAATCTGCCAATACCCAATATTAACCTAATTTCCCAGTTTCCCTAAAATAAAACAGTTAACTTGATCCAAACTTGATCCAATTGTGTTATGCAATGTTATTTATTCTGCAACTAACTACTGAACAGCTTTGTATGAATAAAATTACAATCATTATGAGACGTCCTAGGTCTACATCAGCAAATAAACAGTCTTTAAACATCAAATACAAGGCCCAACCAGGATATCGGCTGAACCGACAAAGTCAAAAGACTGATATCAAATTTCCTAGATTAGGACCAATATCCGATATCTGATACCAGCATCAGTATCGGTGCAGCCA